AGCTAATTTCAAAGCTCACTGAGAAGTATGGCGACCGATAAGTGCTTTAATTAAAAGTTTGGTTCCTTATTTCATGCTATGCCAATGACAAAATTAATGTTGCATTTCATTTAATGTGTTAACACTGAGTGTTTTTTGTCCTTTTCATTCTAACCCAAAATTAACATTCTGAAAAATAATCTTCAAAATTTGTACTTTAATGGAAATTCCATCCGTCTTTAAAATATATATTTATGAAAATATTTATTCAAATTGTTCGAGTTTTTATGTTGCCTTTTGGAATAAAAAGTAGAATGGGATCTATTGGCTTAATTACAGCAGCGATCGTAGAAATTATTTTTATTGAATTTTTCAATCAGCGTTTTTGGTCTGCATAACGATTATGCTTTATGATTGTGATATTTTTATCTCGAAGCTTTTGCTCAAGAGAAATCATCACGGTTTACCAAATCCCATTTAGTACCGTATTGTAGTTTTCAGATCGTTCAATTGGCTACGCATGTTTTGTTTATAGGAGAACGAACAAAATTTTTTCCGTCCAGAATGGTTTTATGGCTAACAGGAGTTTTTGTGAATGTCACTTTTTATCTTCTTGTAGTAAAATTTTTCCAAATTTATCAAGAAAACCTGAAAAAGATTCGGAATGAATTAATCGATGATGACATATTAGGGGTTGTGCCGGATTACAGATCAGTGAATGAAGACGTTGAGAGTTAGTTCTATCACTGGTAATCTTTGAAAGTATATGAAATTAATTGAATTTACGTATTCCAGAGTTTTACTGTGAGCATTTAAATTTTTGAATTCTTAAATTTTCGAGTTTTTTTTTTTAAAGTGGAAAATTTACTCATCTTTCTTTCACTTATATGACTATGCGTTAACATATTTATTGATTGTGTTTACTTTTTTCCTTTTTTCGATAACATTCGTTTTTATCTTTTCAATTTGTTTTTGCAGTGTGTGGTTTATTTTGTTCATTTTTTTCCTTTTTTCATTGTTTAAATTAAATTTAATTTTGCTGATAAAAAGTTTTTGTCTCTTTCTAATGATTAAAGCATCATTTGTCAACAACAACAATAACATAAAGAAAGAACGAGAAACTAAAAGTAAAATCATGCATGCATATTTGAGTGATGGATGATGAGATTGATAATAATTCTCGGCAGCTTTATCAGCATTCTTCGAATCAAAATATAAGAATAGTTTTTGCGGTCCCGTAAAACAATTCACATGTTTTGATTTTACATTCTGTAACTTTTGAATGAATCAGTTTAGTTGGTTTTACATTTCTGATCCGGAATGGTATGCTTCTTTTCTTCTTTTTCTTTTCTCTTAAAATAAATTTGATGTATTTATGAGTGAGGATGTAAAAAATTTCACAAATTATACCATTGATGAAAGATAGGATTTATTACTGTTCGTTAACAGATGAGGAGTGAAGCAAAACGACAAGAAGTTATGTTGAGAAATTACTGTAGAAAAGTGTGATTTAAATACGCTTTATCTTTTAGGTTTAGGTTTACTGTTAGGTTTACTTTTAGGTTTTACTGTTTTTTTTTTTGGTGATATTTTACAAATAGGTGATGGACTTAGATAAACCTAAATTCTTTAATTTTATGTTAACTTTGTTGTCAGCAATGCAGCCTTTACTCTTGTTCATTTTTTCTAGTGATATTTTATTTAAGGATGATGGTTTTCTTTTCTTTTTTCAAACTGATAGAATAATACCGCAGTGCATCTGTCAATTCTATCCATTTCTATAGACTTTAATAAATTTTAATTCTCTAATTTTATCCTAAGATTCTTATTAGCAATTTAGGCTTCATTCCTTTTTTAAAATTAAAATTTATTGAATTCTTTTGTAAAGTAACATATTAATAGTTTGTTTTCTTTTACAGGCATCAGGCGTAAAAGTGGATGCAAGTTGCAAGAAAGCTTATGATGAATTGCATCAGAAGCATCAGCATTCTTATATAATCTTTCGAATTTCTGATGATGATACGACAATTATCGTTGATAAGGTTGGCAGTAAGAATGCACCGTATTCCGAATTTGTTGAGGTTAGTTGCATTTTCTGTAAAATTGTGTGTTAGTAAGTGCAACTTACTTATTACAATAAATTTTATTTTTGAATTTTTAAAATTTGAAAAATTTCTGGAAATTTTCATTATAGATGACATTATAAAAGATGACACATTTCACGATTTTGCTATTACCAAACAATAATAAAAACAAAATCTGCCAAACAACAGTTTAAATTCAAACATTACTACTTTTAATATCTTTTGCATTGTCTTTTTTTCCATTTGTTAAATTTGGATTTCCTTCACCTATTACTGATATTTATTTTATGCCAAAAGATTTAGCAATAATCTAGAGAGTGTGTTAAATTACAGGAAATTCGGAAAAGTGTAGGTGACGGTAAGGAATGTCGTTATGCTGCAGTGGATGTTGAAGTGCAGGTACAACGACAAGGTACAGATGCTGCATCACGGCTTACCAAAGTTGTTTTCGTGCAATAGTAAGTTTTTAATAGTTTTTTTTTGTCCCAAAGTAAAAGACGATAACTAATAATAGGTATCTTAAATGATTTACCATCTCATTTTACGATATATGAACACTTAAGTATCATACTTTTTGCTTTATGATTTGCTAAGGAAGGGAGAGCCAAAAAAAAAAAATGATTAAGAAAAAAAATTAAGAAATAAGTCCAATTCTGTTAAGTAAGGAAAATTTTGTTGAGAACAAGAGCTAGAATAGTACTGTTCATGTATCAATCTCTTCTTGAAGAAGTTAATGTAGGATTAATTTACGACACTTTTACGTTAACATCGTTAACATTCATTATCGAATGTTTTGAAAAATTCTTCAGATATTTAACCATATGTTAACAGTTGTTAAATATTATTGCATATGATTTCGTTTATTTTTATAGCCTCTTAAGTTTCAATGTAATCTTTTCTTTTTTTTTCTTTTTTTACAGCTGTCCAGATGAAGCACCGGTACGTAGACGTATGTTATATGCATCATCGGTTCGTGCTTTGAAAGCTACATTGGGTTTGGAAAGTTTGATGCAAGTACAAGCAAGTGATATCTCAGATATTGATGAGAAAGCAATTAAGCATGAATTAATGAGTCACCAACGTACTTAAATAAATATTCGATGAACTAGACGATTATGCTAGTGTATGCATTACTATCTTAACATTATTTTTTCTTTTTTTTTTTTGTCCTTCAATTTTTCGATTTAATTCAATTTCAATGCAAGTTTTATTTATTTGTTTTTTTTCTCTTGCCCAACTAATTTATCACTTTATCAAATAATTGCATACGTTAAAATGTATTTTTTATTTTCACTACGCATTGCCAAATAATGTTTGTTTCTTTTTTTTTTTTTTCTTTGTTCTTTTTTGAACAAAAAATATAAGATGAAATAAAGAGTTATTTTGAATTCTTTTTCTCAGTTAGTTTTTTTAATAATATTGCGCATATACGTTTGTGAATTTAATGATTAAGATAAATATAGCATTTTTGCTCTTTTTAGTGCTTTAGGAAGTTTTATTGGGTTTAGTTTTCTTATACTTTTTTCTTTTTCTGAGAGAATTGTAAAATTTCTGGAAAAGGCGTAGGAGAAGAGGACGAAAAATATTTTTTGAAGTTAAAGCATGCAGTTGTTTGTCTTATGCTTAAATAATTTAAAAAAATTGGAGAAAGCAATTTTCAGGAGGAAAAATAATTTCTGGAAGATAATTTGAAATAATGTCGACTTCCTATCGTTTTTTTTTCTTTCCGGTTGTGGTGTAAACTTTGCTCTCTCTCTCTTTTTGTTCAATATATATTACTAATTTATCGATAACAACAAAAAGTGCCACCACTCTTGGTTGATATGCTAGTCATCAAGTTTGCTGTAATGAATCATGGATCTATTCATTCAGTTATTAGTTATTAGGCCAAAATGCCATAATTATCGGTTCTTAAGCCTGTCCCTTTCATTTGACCTATTCATTCATACATCATCTTTTTCATACATGTCGCATCTGCTTTTGGTTACTCCCGATTAATCAATAATTTTTACTTTTCACTTGTATGGATACCGATTAAATAGCATTCACTCGGGAGAGTTATAAATTCTTCAGAGAAATGAAATGATATAAGATCAAGTTTATTTCGGGATTTTGAGTATCTTCATTATTAATTCATAGATTTCGAGAATTTTCGGTGAAAAAAAAAAGGGGTCACTAAATTGATATCGTAATTTTGATTACAACACCATAATGTAATTCTAATGCCATTTTTTTCAATACCGCAATCATAATACCGTACTCATACCATAATCAGAATACCACGATCATATTATTGCAATTAAATAGATGATCAAAATATCATAATTAAGTGCCTGATCATACATGATCATAACTATCATAATCTGTCAACGTTTGTTTGCAAAAAACATTGGAAATAAAAAGCAAAAAAAAAAAATTTACAGATTTGGAGGATTTCGGTGAAAAGGATCATTAAATTAATTATTAAAAAAAGAGTATTGATATTTTCCCTTTGCAAAAATTTACTTCGTTCATTATTCAATAGTAATTTTCAAATGAACTATTATCAGATAACTTTGTTTATTCTGTTAATTAAATCATTTTAATCATCGCTTCTCGAGATTTACACAAATTTTAAATCTGAACTAATTATAATAAAAACGTTGTAAAACAATGAGGAAATATTACTGTAAAGAAAGAATCTGCAAATCTCTATATATATTCAAATTTTACTCAATACTTATCCAACTTATTCTCATCTTATCAATTAAACTTATTAATTAATAATGATGTTAACATTACAATACTAAATATCAAATTAAAACAGAAGTATAAATTACGAACAATGTTAGAGACATCCCTCTAATGATTGAATAAAAAAAGCTATCGAGGGATGAATAAGTGAAAGAAATGTCCACTTCAATTCTGGTCAACTGAAATACTTTCCTATCATCCATATATCAATAAGATGATCAGTGAAATTTTTTCTTTCCTTTTAATATTTTTTATCCTATTTCAGTTACGCTTATATGCATTTATTTTCCATAGCTATAAATGAGCTTTCAAAAAATTTGACCACAATTCTGAATGGTAATTGTCGCAGTGGTACGTCCTTTTTGTGCGCCATATCCTTCCAGGATACCATATGATTCCAAACGATCAAATGTATCAAAGCCATCTATTAATTTCCCAAATGCCACATGATAATCATCCAACCTGTGACAAAATAATTTAAAAAAAAAAAACAGATAAAAAGGATGATTTTGAGATTAATTTTAGTCTTGAATAATTAAACCCTTAGCAACATTGCGTTATCACAAGTTTGTTGAACGAAAAAGATTACAACGAATGATAAGATAGGAAAATCACACAATACATCTCCATTGGGAAAATATTACATTTTCTTTAGATGAATAAATGAAAATGTTTAAAGTTAACAAAAGATATAAGAATTTACCATGGAGCTTCATCAAAAGTAATGAAGAATCGTGAACTAACAGTATCAGGCCAACCATAATTATCCATTGATAATACTCCACGACTATCATGTTTTAGGATGAAATTTTCATCATCAAAATATTTATCATCAAATATTGAATGTCCACCACTTCGATTAGCATTGTTTGTTTCAAAATCACCGCTCTGTATTTTAGGTATGAAAAATTTTTCTAATTTTAAATAGCTAAGCCTATTTTAACAATTTTCTTTCAACATTTTTGGCTTTATGTTTTTGTGTTTATAAAATGAATTATTTCAACTTAATTATCTTCAAATGAAATGAATTATTTAAATCTTTTCCATCAATAACTTATCCTCCTCATAAAGTAATCAACTTACACATGCGCAAAATCCTGGGATAACACGATAGAAAATGCAATCCTTGTAACCGAATCCTTTTTCACCGGTGCAAAGTGCTCGAAAATTTTCACAGGTCTTTGGACAGATATCATTTCTCAACTTGAAAACTCAACAAATTAACTTATATTGAATTTAGTTTAATTAAATGATTTCTTTGATAAGTTGAAGAAAAGAGATGAAAGTTAGAAATCATATTTTTCGATCTGTACAATCTCTTTCCCCTCTCTTATAATTTAAAAAATGACAATTGAAATTATATTCTAATCATTCTTGGGATCAAATTTTAGGAAGCATATTTGAGATCAAATGATATAACCTCAAAAGTAAGTCGTCCAATTGCACTACCTTCAGCGGCTAAATCAAAGAAAGTTCGGATTGGACTAGTTGACGACATTATATATTGCTCTACAATGAATGTCAATGTGACACTTTTCCGACTTTCATATCCATATATACGTATGCATTACATTCTTCTCTATGATGAAGCTAATTTTCGATAATTTCCTTCATTTTTGATCTAATAATTCTATCCTTGTCACTCTTCTTTCTTTTTCCACCCCTCAATTCCAGGTGTCACCAAAGAAAATGAGCCCAATCTAGTTTACAATATAGAACTCAATACAATTCTTCTCCTAAAAGCACCGTAATCCCGGATTTTCCTCCTGAGAATACCGTAACTCGAGTTTTCCTCCCAAAAGTGCCGTAACCCCTCTTGTCATGTGACGTGAACTTCCAATTAAACGTGAAATTATCGCTTGAAAAAAGCATCGAATTATTTATTTTCAGTGAATTGTTATCTTCCACATTTTATTATTTATTCTCATAGCTCATATTGCGCAAGATTTATATGTGCAGTTGGTACTTGACCCCTTAATGACCATTACCAAAGGTTCCGACTGTTATGAATGGCGGCATATGGTTAATAGCAAACGATGAATAATGTCCATTTATTCACTTCATTATACTCATCATTCCACGGTAGTCCGAGATCAGGTAAGAAGTATGCGCGTTTCAAATGTTTTTCTCTGTATTATCTTAATCTTAATCCATTACGTAATTATTATCCTTCGAATTTTATTACAGTTAATTTAAGACGGATAAGTTTACAACTTTTAACAGTTAATATGCCTTTCTAATTTGTTCTTGCCGGAATGACTAATAGAAAATGTTTGGTCATTTTTTTTCCTTAAATTTTTTCGGATAGCCAATGGTTAAGCTTTTATTGTCAATGTACTGTTTGGTCATTTCATTTGAATTCAATTTTTTGTGTCGAACCAAGAGATGTATTTTAATGAATTAGTAATGAGAGAAATTTAAAAAAAAAAAACGAAAATTCAGATTAATTGATATGAAAGAAGTGATGAGAGCCGAGAGAAAGCAGTCTGATGAGCAGTCAGAAGTAATTACTAAAAAAATAAAAGCTCATCGTAAATCGTTAAGTATCGTTGAAAATACTAATTCGTCACCAATTTCAAAACGAAAACGCAGGCGGGAAAGTTTTGTTGAAGTCAAGTTTGTTTCCTTCGTCATTTTTTTTCTAAATTTGTCAATTTTAAAAATGATTTACGTGAATGAACTTTGTCAAGACATGTTAACAAACAGTTTACTGTAACAGTACCAAATTTTGCACTTTTATTTAACTCAAATTAATTTCCGACCATTTTGCATATGCTGCTTTAATTCAAATAACAATTGATGGAATGAATTTAAGAATTGTAATTCTGTTATTTCTTATAATAAGTTAAGAAAAAAAGAGAGTGTAATTATATGACAATAAAGTAATCGTAGTGATATGAAAGAATATAAAAGAGAATTGTGAAATGAAATGGAACATATTGCAACTGTTGACAACTTTATGATTGCAATTGTTGACAACTTAGTGATAACATTGAACTTTACATGTTGTTGATTTAGTCCACTTTGGATGTTTCCGTTTTTCCTTTTTTTTTTAAATTTATGAATTTTACTAGAATTGAATTTTTAAAGTAATTAAAGCATAGAATAGTTATATTGGTAAAACAATTTTAATAGCATCTATAAAAATCGTAATTGAGGACGAAGATTCACGACATGCTATGGAATACAATATATCACCGTGGTCATCGTTATGATGTTCGTGCTGCCGATCGAGAGGCTGTTCAGGTGGAACAGAAGCTTATGCAATCTGACGGTGAAGCTACTGTTGCTAGTTTAACTGATGGTACCATTCGTCAACAAAACTTCAATGTAACAAAAATTCCATCAAAGCAAAAAGCAAAAAGAGCAAAGATTTCCTCCAACTAATTGATGACAATTATTAAATCACTGTGATGATGCTAATTTGAAATTTTATGATCTTTGGTACTTCTTCACTACTTTAAATTTAATTAGCTTAAAAAGACGAAGGGACATCCGTATAATCGTGTGAAATGCAATCAGTTACTCATTTCCTTAATAATATCTTCTTTTAATTCAAATTTCATTGTGTAATTTAGGTTTTTCTGTAGATAATTTGAAGT